TGAAGCTTTATTTTTAATAATTAAACACTGGAAATAACCAATATGTACATTTAAAATAATGGTGGTGTATCCATACAACAGTATACTGCTCAGTTATGCTCAGTAAAAAAAGTCGAACAAAAAGAGTATATTCTATGTGATTCCATTTATGTAAAGTTTTATAAAATATGAGCCTACAGAAATTATATGTGAGTTACACTTCAATGAAGTTATTAAAAACATTAGCTCAACCTAAAGAACTTTCAAATGTTAAGGGTTAAATTTGGAAAAAGTTGGTTCAGTTGAATAAAGTCTACGTGAAACAGAATTACACCAAGGAACGATTCCCCTACTTTGAGGTAAAATGTCAGTATGGCAGTGGAAAAAACAAAACCCGTATTTCAGTTCTTTATTACTCAATGGAATTGTCAATCAAATCTCATATATATTACAGGCTGTCATGCCTACAAAGACCTGCAGGTCTGTGACCTCATCTTCTACCTCTCCCCCAACCCAACCCTGCTCACCATGCTTAGGCTACTCTGATCTATTTTCTCAACCTTGAGCTCACAAGCTTATTTCCAATTCAGTTCCCTGGTACCAGCTGTATTTTCTTCCTTGGACAATCCTCCTGGATCTGCCCATAGCAGATGTTTTCAGGTCCTGTGTCAATTCATCTGTTAGAGAGTTCTTAACCACCTTATATAAAGTAATTCTACCCCACAAAGCAGTCACTTTCTGTCATGTTATCATTTTACTCTATTTTCTTTTCTAGTATTTCTTTTCAGTTACTACAGTGTAAGTTTCATAGACCTTCTTATTCAGCACTTTATTTCCAGCACCCAGAATTGTGCATGTCACATAGTAGGTTCAGAGTAAATATTTTTTGAAAGAGTACAGGTGTCTTCTCACTCATCCTAAATAACTTTTGTGTTAAATTTCCAGAGACAGCTCCAACAATCCGAGTGTCAAAATTCAATGATGAAAAGGGTCTTTGATACCTACATGCTCTTTTTTCAAGTCAACCAATCAGCCACAGCACTGAAACACGTGTTTGCCTCCTTGAGGCTGTTTGTATGCAAGGTAAGGGTCCTCAAGGTTCCAGAGAAAGCTCAGTGAAGTGTTCATTACTGACAATAAACACATATTAATCCTTACATCTCTCAGTACGGAAGGAAGAAGGTTTGTTTTTTTCCATGTTGGTTTATTAGGTTTTTATTAGACTATTTGGCCTTATTAAACTATTTGACTCATAATCTCAAAGTACGTTCCAGCCTTGACAGCCTATCTGCTGAATATCTAAAGGGAATAAAATTAGTATCTGGCCACCAATTCTTTGGGTTCTCAGTGTTTGTGGCAGAGAGGTAAAATGCACACCATCAACTGTGATGTCCGTTCAGGCCAAGTTAAAGGTTCCACATTAAAGTGGATACAGTAGAGACCACCTTTGAAGACCCTGGTGGTTTTACAATGTTCGGTGAATAGAAAACATTTCAAAGCTTTCATTCCATCACTTTGGGTTGTCATCCCTCACTGATGCAATAGACACCTACAGCATAGAGAATGATTGTTTCTAGGGAAAAAAAGAGAAATTCTAACATAGACTTTAGTAAGTAAAATTGTATCCTCTTCCACTTGCAAATGAAAGATACAGTCTAGGTTGAAAAAAGAAAAATTTTATTCTAAGGAATTTTAAAATATGAGAATGAAAAAGCAAAGTGAAGGAGTGTTGCCCACTTCACCAGCGCTTCCGTTTCCATAGTTTCCTTCAGCGTTCTTCCAAGGGCCTGCCGACCTGTGTGGATCATTCTGCTATGAAGTCCTAAAGTGCTGCAACCACAGGTCACGTTCAACTCAGACAGAAGCGTCAGCACTTCTGTATTTTTTCATGAGGAAGAATTTTGAATTTAACAAGCAGAAGTCAATTGTCCGGTCCCACCTGCAAGTAAGTGATGCCATTTTTCATTAACGTTGTTGTGAAAACCACTCATCCGTTTCAGCGTGGATAAAAGCCTGCTGTCCCCAGGGCAACCAACTCCTCCATCAGATTCCTCCTTAAAGACGCCCATCCCACGCGGTTGCGATTCATGAGAAGAGAGTGGGGCAGAAATCGGCAAAGCCCGTAACTCCACTTGACCCTTTCCTTTCTTCTGCGAGGGAGTAGAGTCATATAGAATACACAACCCAAACACCATGACAATTTCTAGGATTCCGAAGCCCACCGGATTCTCAGCACATTCATTGGGCCTACAGGGAGAAATGAATGATACATTCAACTCGATAGATTTCTTTGGAGCTACTATTTTGGAGTTACTTACTTTTGAGATTTCATTTTTCTTTTCACTTCCAGCTCATCAAAGCTGTAAGCCAGTTAATAGCTGATGCTGGGATTGGAGGCTCTCGGTTTCAACATTCCCTTGCAATTGCCAATAATTTTGCCAATGGAGACAAGCAAATGAAAGTAAGAAATGCTTTGTGGGCTGTTTTTAAAGAATTGGGAATCAACTAAACTGGATTCTTTTGTGAGATATCAAAACTACAAAAAATACGAATTCTGTATTTTGTTTATTGACAGTTTAACTGAATACTTACGTTGAGTTTGCGTGTTTGAATGGATAGTCAGCTCTTATACTTTCACTATATTATCTGTTAAGTGGAATTTGCAAGATACAGGGTTGAATGATACATAACAAGGAAACTAACCACAAATATCGAGAAATATAGTGATTCTCTCATAATCCCATTCTTGGTCAAATTCATTTTATCTTTTTTGGGGGACTTTCTGGAGACTTCTCCTTCAGTTATTATACTAAAAAGTCCAGAGGGTAGAGCCTGATGTCAGGCATGGCTGAACCCAGGGATTGAAACAATGTTTTCAGATCCTACCCCCTCCTTTTTTTGCCTCTCTCTTTCTCCCTTAGTTCAGTTTTCCTCTTTGTTTACTTCATTTACAGGTAAACTTTCCCCATGAGCTTACTCGCTCAGAAAATTCTGAGGACACCAGTAGAATTCTGTGTTCTTTAGTGCCAGTGAAAGTCTCAGGACTCAATCTGTTTGATCCAACCTTGTATCATATGTTCATCCCCAAACCAATCAGTGTGCCTTAGGGTATCAAAGAATATGACTGGTTGGCCAGGCCGGCATCATACACAACCTTGGTGCCTGGAAGTGAAATAGAACCATTCAAATCCCATGAACTAGAGCCAGAGAAGAGAGTATCTCAAATGACAGTCAGGATGCTCTTGCTAGAAAGTAGGTTAGAAGGCGAAAGAATGGAGTCTACTACAACTACTATGTTCCAGTGTGTACAACTGCAATCACAATACATGGAATTCATATATAAAGGATGTATGTTTTTGTGAACAATAGATAGAATGCATGAAACTGTGAAGCCAAGAAGCCATAACTAACAGCATAACTTGAGGTAAGATAACTTATGAATTCTAAACAGATGATGACCCAGGCTCTCTGTTTTCCAAAGAACAGCAATTTCCCAGCAGAAGTGAAAGATCTGACTAAACGTATAAGGACCGTGTTGATGGCCACGGCTCAGATGAAGGAGCATGAGAAGGATCCCGAGATGCTGGTGGATCTCCAGTACAGCCTGGCGAACTCCTATGCAAGCACCCCCGAGCTCCGGAGGACCTGGCTGGAAAGCATGGCCAAGATTCACGCGAGAAATGGAGACTTGTCCGAGGTGATTAGCAAAGGCTTGGTGGTTCTCCATCAATGCCGTCCTCTTTAACATGAAGATTGGAGGATCATTCATGGCAGGCATATAAAAAGTTACATATGTTCCCACTAATGCAGATATGACCTAATTACATGTTCTGTGCTTTAAATTTGCATGTAGGATTCAAGGATGCCTGACTCCACGTAAATGATATCAGATAAAAGCCAGAGTCTGGGGGAAGCTGCAGTTGTAGGATGGGCAGTGTAGAACCAAATGCTAAAAGCCTGAGGCTGAGGAGGATAGCTGTAAGGGTGTTTGGAAATTCAGCATCAAAGCAGCTTCTGGACACCAACTGGGGGAACTTCTGCCTTATTCCAAGAAATATGTCCCCACTGGGTAGAGATTAATTTATCTAGGATTGTCCTAGCGCCTCCAGTTCTTCTAAACACCTATGAAGGACTCTGGGATGGAAGTAGATCTGCCCAGAGGCTTCATTTGGTAGCAGTTTGATCAGGACAAAAATGAGAAACTACAGCTCCCTTGGACTGCCCTGAAAATGGAGGAATTCCTCCACAAAACTTCCATGGGGAAAGCTGAAGTCATTTGGACTCTTCAACAGGTCAAGGTCTCGTATGTGTTCAGCGATATTCAAGGCTTTACAAGGAGGTATTAGAGAACAAAAAATGTCACCCACCTAATCTGATTGAGGAGAGCACATGTTACACGAGGTCATTCTGGTTAATCAGATGCCACCTTGACCCATTTTAAAGGGAACAGAAATTTGAATGGGGAGGTAGAAAAAGTAAAAGACAGCTTATTGTTACTTCCAGTTTAGATCTAGATGGTATATTTTATAGTTTTAACAAGAAAAGAGAACCGTGGAGATATATATATATATCCCCACACATTGATATTAAGGAAGAAGATAATTCAATTCTAGGGGAAAATTCTTCAGGCCAGCTCATCACTCAACTGAAAACTACATTGAGAAAAACAAAACCAAAAAAATTCACAAATATGCATTTTTATTCTGAATTGGGAACTTTTTCGAAATCTAATTGATTCTTACTTTCAGTTCTGTCATTAGAAGGATTCCTCCGCATATTCTGACTTGGAATACTGACTTGCCTTGGAAGATTAGTCCCGATTAGACAGACAGTAAAATCTATAGAGTGTGCCTTCCTCTCAAACTGTTTTCTTTTTCATTCCAGGCTGCTATGTGCTACATCCATATAGCTGCCCTCATTGCAGAATACCTGAAAAGAAGGGGTAAGTGACCACGTGAGGGGAGAAAGTCAACATGTCGAAACCTCACTTAAAATGTATTAATTTAAAATTTTCCTTAATCTCAGTGTTTTCTTAAGCAACATTAATTATCATAGATATTTCTAATTATGCTCTACTTTTAAGTTTTAGCTCTTTCTTTCATGCCATTATTATGTTTATTTTCTGTACAGCCAGGCTAACTGGTTCAAAACGAGGATGCTTCATTGGTTAACGACTTGTAGTTTCATAAGCTTGGATTAACATAAACATGTGACAATGTCCTAACCTCATCTTGCACTGCCATAGGTTACTGGAAAACGGAAAAGATTTGCACACCATCCCTGCTCCCGGAGGATATCCACCCCTGTGATAGCAACCCTTTACTAACCACTCCTGGTGGAGGAAGTGAGTGTCTAACTGAGCTCCTTTACCCCCGTGTAATAAACCGGTGAAAATCAAGTCACTGCTTACATTTTACTTCAACGAAACTCTTAAAAGTAAAAACCATCTTAAACCTACAAAACCTACTCGGTAGAAACTCAGAGTTCCTACCATTCAGAAATCCCATCCATCCAAAATTTGTGAAGTTTTGAATACTAAAAAGTTCTCAGCAAATAGAACTGCTTCTTCTCCAATATGATGACCCTATGTTACTGTTTTGAATCCTTTCAACATCCTTTGAGATGGATATCAATGTCTCTAGTTTAACAAATGAGGGAAACAAACTCAAAGAGGTTAATTAAAGCAAGGCATTGAAGCTGCATCAATCTGCAAGCCTGTGTTCTGTCCATAACTCCATGCCAGCTCCTTATAGGAGAGGGGTCACGTGCTAATGACACAAAAGTTATAAAAAGGGGAACATTGCTCACCTGGCAGAAAGTATTCATCAACCGTCATAATCTAACCATCTCGTTGACTGTGTGTGTCCTATAACCACTACGTGTAACGTCACGAAGAAAGGCACTATCTAATCCAAGCAGGATTTGGCTCAAATAATAATATATATTTTGCTTGGTCCTCTCAAGGCATGTTCTCTATGGGCTGGCCGGCTTTTCTGAGCATTACACCAAATATCAAAGAAGAAGGGGAAATGAAAGAAGATTCGGGAATGCAAGATACGCCATACAATGAGGTTAGACGAAAATTATCAAGTGAGCAGCAATTGAGTCAAAAGATGCATTGAGTTGTAATATTAAGCTGAATTGGGGGGAGAAAAATCTTACTCAGAAATCAACTAAAGTCATTCTGTAATATGACTTAGACAAAATAAGATGCAGGCTAAAATTAAACTGAGATTAGTAGGTATCAGATTCCATTGATAAAGCATAATTTTCAATGAAAATTGAAATTAAACTTGACTTCTCTAAGATGGACCCAAATACATATGATCAGCTCTTTTGTAAAATATAAAACCTCTAGTTCTGTGGTAAATGTGGAAGGGATGCTTAAAACTTTGTGGTCTGGTAACAGCTTTTCTTTAATGCGTCAGAAAATTTATTAACAAATAGACTTGAACAGAAGGTCTCACTAGATTCTGCAGAAATCCTTCTGGTGTGCAAAGTATGTTTCTTTTTTAACTCATAAAAAGAAGCTTTCGACCAAGAATTACTTAGCAACAATTCAGGGAAAGTAACTAGAACTCTCTTCATCAAGGAAATAAAATATTTCATATGCCATTTTTTAATCATAATATTAGATTGATTAAAAAGATACCAAAAGCAAATTTTGGAGTGCATTTCAAGGAAATTTGGTTGTACATTAATTTAGTGTACATTGCAAATAAACAGTAAATGCAGCTGCATATTTATATTAACTATTTCAAATAATGTTTTTAAGAATCTTTAAAAGACATTGTTGAAAACATTCAATAATATTA